CAAACTCACTCACTGGGTGCTGGCAGGCTTGCGTTCCAGGGCATGACTTCCGTAGGCTCCCTAAGTATCCACGTGATATGGCAGCTGGTGAATGGAGAGCGAGAGACCACACCGAGTCTCTCTGTATAGTAACTTAATCTTGGAAGCGACATCACATCATTTCTGCCGTACTGTATTTGTTAGAAGTCACTGAGTTTGCAGGGGGGTGGTGGCTCACATCTGTAATCCCAGCACTTTGGGAAGGAAGGAGAGTGGATCACCTGAGGTCAGAAGTTTAAGACCAGCCTGGCCAACATGGTGAAACCCCATCTCTCCTAAAAATACAAAAAATTAGCTGGTGGTACAACCCTGTAATCCCAGCTAGTCAGGAGGGAGGCTGAGACAGGAGAATTGCTTGAACTTGGGAGGTGGAGGTTACAGTGAGCCGAGATCGCACCATTGCACTCCAGCCTGGGCGACAGAGCAGGATTCCACCTCAAAATAATAAAAAAAAGAAGTCACTGAGTCCAGTGCAAATCCAGGGGGTAGGAGGAGAATACACAAAGGCCTGAAGACCAGGGAAGTGGGATCACTGAGTACATCTTAGAGCTGCCTGTCTCAACCACTACCCGCCCAACGCTGAGCCGAGCATTTTACCCGCACTACTTTCTTTAACCCTCACAATGACCTTTGCAGATGTGGAAACCCTCGATACCTCCCTTTGCAGATATGGAAACAGGCTCAAAGTGCTTACATGGCTTGCTCATAAGCCACAACAATTACTATGTAGGAGAGAAAAGATGTAGCCCAGCTTTGTGAACAAGGCTGTGTGTGTGTGTGTGTGTGTGTGTGTGTGTGTGTGTGTGTGTTTTAGATGGAGTCCTGCTCTGTTGCCCAGGCTGGAGTATAGTGGCACAATCAGCTCACTGCAACCTCTGCCTCCCGTTCAAGCAATTCTCCTGCCTTAGTCTCTCAAATAGCTGGGATTACAATCATGTGCCACCAAGCCCAGCTAATTTTTTGTATTTTTAGTAGAAATGGGGTTTCACCATGTTGGTCAGGCTGGTCTCCAACTCACGACCTCCGGTGATCCACCTGCCTCAGCCTCCCGAATTGCTGGGATTACAGGCGTGAGTCACCGCGCCTGACCGGCTGTGTGTTTTTGAACACTTGCTATACTGTCTCCCTCAGTCACAGCAGAGAGGGATCGAAGTGTCGCAGAATACTGAAGCTAAATAGGGTGCTACTAAGCATTTGGTGCAAGAACTGAGGTTGAGATGCAGAAGTCAAAAGGCTCTACATTTAGCCAGGCATTTCCTAGCCCCAAAGTTCAGGAATAAGGTTGGGAACATGGAAAAGCAGACCAGGAGACAAAGCGAAGAGGATCCCAAAATGATTGTGTTGTTGGTGAAATCTGCTGTGGACATATGAAAACTTTCCTTCCTAGTTCTATCGTTGCTAAATATGAATTGGAAATAGAGTTAGCAGGGACCTACAAACAAATGAGCTGGAACACTTACAGGTTGCGTATCCCTTATCCTAAAAGCTTATAACCGGAAGCATTTTGGGATTTTCTGGATTTTGGAGTATTTGCATGATGATGATATACTTACTGGGTGAGTATTCCTTTTTTTTTTGAGACAGAGTTTCGCTTTTGTTACCCAGGCTGGAGTGCAATGGCGTGATCTCGGTTCACCGCAATCTCCGCCTCCTGGGTTCAGGCAATTCTCCTGCCTCAGCCTCCTGAGTAGCTGGGATTACAGGCACGCGCCACCACGCCCAGCTAATTTTTTCTATTTTTAGTAGAGACAGGGTTTCACCATGTTGACCAGGATGGTCTTGATCTCTTGACCTCGTGATCCACCCGCGTTGGCCTCCCAAAGTGCTGGGATTACAGGTATGAGCCACCGCGCCCGGCTGGGTGAGTATTCCTAATCCCAAATCTGAAATGCTCCAGTGAGTATTCTCGTTGAGCATGAACTTGGAGCATCATTGTCAGTGCTCAAAAGTTTTGGATTTTTGGCCGGGAGCGTTGGCTCACGCCTGTAACTCCAGCACTTTGGGAGGCTGAGGCAGGCAGATCACCTAAGGTCTGGAGTTTGAGATCAGCCTGACCAACATGGAGAAACCCCATCTCTACTAAAAATACAGAATTAGCCAGAGTGGTGGTGCATGCCTGCAATCCCAGTTACTCAGGAGGCTGAGGCAGGAGAACCACCTCAGGGACAGCTGGGAACTCTGTTTTGATACACCCCTCATCGCCCTGGTCTAGCCTGAGCTTTTTACTTGGCAGGCATGTTTCAAGAAAAGAAAATAAAGGCAGAAGCTGCAAGGTGTCTTGAGGCATAGACTCCAGAAACTGCACATCATTTTTCCCACATTCTATTGGTCAAAGAAGTCACAAGATCAGTCCAATCAAGGAAGTGGAGAATGGCCATGCCTATGGGGAATGTGATGGAAGGAAGGGCAAGGATGCACTATGAAAGGGTATGGATACCAGGGTGTGGCTTCTCATCACAAATCATTATTGTAAGGAGTGACCATGAAGACCCTGTAAAGTAGTTCTATTTCCACAGTACCAGCCGTGGGTTACAGACCCTGATGAGAAAGACATGCAATGTGCCTGGGATTTGAAGTGTCTCCACTGCAGTGCACTAGAATGAGCAATGGATTATCTGTGCTGGGAGCCTCAGAGTTTGAACCCAGCCAAAAATAAAACATCTAAGACTTAAGATGTTGGAAGATCCTGTTTAAAAACAACTTGATTCTTTTTATTATTCTTTTGGAGACAGAGTCTTGCTTTGTCGCCCAGGTTGGAGTGCAGTGGTGCACTCTCAGCTCACTGAAACCTCTGCCTCAGCCTCCTGAGTAGCTGGGATTACAGGCACCAGCCACTATGCCTGGCTAAGTTTTGTATTTTTAGTAGAGATGAGATTTCACCATCTTGGCCAGGCTGGTCTTGAACTCCTGACCTCGTGATCCACCCGCCTCAGCCTCCCAAAGTGCTGGATTACAGGTGTGAGCCACCATGCCTGGCTTTTTTTTTCTTTCAAAATTGAGTCTTGCTCTGTCACCCAGGCTGGAGTGCAACGGCATGACCTCAACTCACTGCCACCTCCGCCTCCTGGGTTCAAGTGATTCTCCTGTCTCAGCCTCCAAGTAGCTGGGATTACAGGGACATGCCACCATGCTGGCTAAGTAGAGATGGGGCTTTGCCATGCTGGCCAGGCTGGTCTCAAACTCCTGACCTGAGGTGATCTGCCCACCTTGGCCTCCCAATGTGCTAGAATTATAGGCATGAGCCACCACGCCTGGACAAAACCACCAGAATCTATAGGAAATTGAATTCAGGCTGCCATTGGAAGGATTGAATTAAATAGTGCATATACACATTGCATTAGAGCAGAATTTTTCAAACTCCGGGTAGGACTCATTAGTAAGTCTTAATATTAATTTAGTAATACATGATCAGCATTTTTTTTTTGAGACAGGGTCTCACCCTGTCACCCTGGGTGGAGTGCTATCATGGCTCACTCCCTTGAAGGCTCCAGCCATCCTCCCACCTCAGCCTCCTGAGTAGCTGGGATTATAGGCTAACACTACCATGCCTGGCTAATTTTTGTATTCTTCATAGAGATGGGAGTTTCATCATGTTGCTCAGGCTGGTTTCAAACTCCTGGGCTCAAGCAATCCACTTGCCTTGACCTCCCAAAACTGGGATTATAGGTATGAGCCACCACACTCATTCATAATCAGCATTTTATTTTACATATTTTGTAAACAGACAGGGTCTTACCATCTTGCCCAGGTTGGTCTCGAACTCTTGGGCTCAAGAGATCCACTGACCTTGGCCTTACAAAATGCTGGGATTACAGGCATGAGCAACTGCACTCAGCCCATGATCAGCATTTAAAAAATAGAATAGAAAATATCAAAATGTAGCACGTATATTTTTCAGGAACTTTTTATTCACTTACATAAATAAGCTCATATATACGTGTATTGAGTAGCAAAGCAGTGGTAAAAATATTTCTTGCTATGGGGTCATGGTGAAAGTGTGAAAGCACTTATTTAGTATATACTCAGGTGGAAGTGAGATCTACTTTGTATCCATGAAGAAACTGTGTTAACATCTATATCTAGTTAGAGACACAAGATGATAAAGAATGGTAATTCTATGATTTGGGCAGTATTCCATTCTAAGAGGTTTCAAAGGGAAATCTGAACAATAAGATTTCTTTCCTATACACTAAATTTCCTCACTGGAACCCTTAGAAGGAACAAAATCAGGGGGTTCATGGGCTGGGAAGGGTTATTATGACAGAAGCTAGTTAATCTTCCAGCTGACTAGTCACAGCTCTGAGGGCAAGCTTCACAGTACAAGGGCCCACACCGCCTGACATTATATAAGATCATCATTTGTTTATTGTCAGGGTTTCTCCACTGGAAAGCAGAGTCCGTGAGAGCAGAGCCTGTCTTGCTCATTGCCAAATCCCCAGTGGCCAGATCAGTGCCCGGCATGTACTAGGCATCCACTAAACGTTTGTGGAAGAAATGAATGAATGAATGACTGAGGGGGTAGAGGTAGGGAAAGATGCCTCATCCTAAGTGCTATATTTCATAATTACTGCTTTTCACTGATTGCTCTTTGTAAGCTGTTTCCATCTGTGTTTATTTTTCTTCAGACTGGTTCAGAACACAATCCTGATCCTTTTTCCAAACACGGTTCTCAAGGATACTTTCAGATGATTGCTCGGCTGAACACACTAGTGTTACTGAAACCGAACAGCACTGCAGAGAGTGAACTAATCAATCTGCCTTTGGTTAACAGCCTTGAAAACACATTATTCATGAAGAGATCAGGCAGGGTTTGGGGTAGGACAGCCTATTACCATCACTAGAAACAACAAATAGCAGAAGTGCAAGACTATTCATTTTTCTCAAAAGGACAATTTGTTAGCAAGGGGACCTCAAAATGTCACCTGAGGGCAGGGATGAAGTGAAGAAAGACACACAGGGGATATGGCATTTTTTTTTTTTTTTACTTTGAACATTAGCATTAAGTTGGTTACCGTACACATCCAAAGGCCCAGCATCTCAGAAAAATCATTAAGCGGCACACCTTGTACCAGAGTCTCACAAGAATAAAATATACAATGCTACATTGAGTGGTTAAAAATACACAAAAAAGTAGTTTTAACAATCTATAAATTTTTTATACTTAAAATCATGATTGAGTTGAAATAAAAAAGTGCATTTCAATTGCTAAAAAAATAATATTGGTATAGTTAACACAAGGGGGAAATCAGTACATTGAGGGATCTGACAGGATGCTAGAGAAAAGACGACTCAGGGAAGCTGGGCAGCACGGGCTCGTCTGGAGATTCAGGAGCTGAGCTCAGTTCCACCTCACTGCAGTTCCCTGGGGCCAAGCAGCCCTCCTCTTCCCAGTATCTTTCCCATCTTAAGAGATCCTGTCCTACCTACCTGTCACCTCCCCAACCCAAAGACTCCTCTAAACTTCTTTGCAGCATGGCAGATGCCTGCCCTACGCTGAGTCTACTTGACCTTCAATTGCGTCTCCGCAGAGAGGTAGGAGAGGGACACTGCCCCATTCTGGACTTGACATAAGTACCCCAGCCACATGGCCTTAATCCTTATGGCCGAGCAGGCAGAACAGGGACCAAGCAGCTTCTGTTTTGTCAAACTCCTTTGGACAAATATTCAACATTCAACAACAAGCTTTGTAAACCTAACGCTAAACAAGTCATGGCAAGCAAACTGGATTTTCTTTTCTTAAGAAATGAGAAAAAGTGCAAGTGATCTCAGTACTGTTGGGGGAAACAAAAATAAAAACAAACAAGTTGCACCTGGCCACTTGCTGCCTAAACCAATCACAGCTTCAGCTTTGCTTTGTGTCAAGTGTTACAAGTAGACACCACTCTCTGTGCTCAGGTTCAGACCTGGCTGCGGGTCAGAGGGCCAGGCAGAAATCAGTTAAAAAGGCCATTCCAGGTGTCAATGCCTCCTGGCTCTCCAGGGGTAATATTTACTGCCTGTGCTTTCATCTTCCCAGGTCAATTACTGACCTGTTTGTTGTGAAGATGCTACTGCAATAAGCACAAATAGAACTCCTGACCAGAGAGCTGATGGGGGTTGTGAGCCCTTAGACAAGCAACTGACAGGGAGCGCAGTTTCTAACCTGGAGTGCCTGTTGCACTGGTCAGGACGCAGAGTCTGACCTAGAGGACTTGCTCCCTGATGTAACAGATGTCCCTTTGGAGCAGAGAAGGTGAGAAGCATTTCCTCACTCATACTCATACTCGAGTTCCCCAGTGCTCTTGTCCCTCCTTCTTTAGATGTGACGGTGGTGGCCTGCGGAGGAGATAAGAAGGGAAACCTGCCTGCTCTGCCTTCAGCACACAAAGATGCCCCAATGGGAAGGTCCTGGCTTTCAATCTGGGTGTCATCAATACAAAAAAAGTCTATTTAAGATGCCTGACCCACAAGGACTCCAGGCCCACATGTCAATCACTGCTTGCATTGTGAGGGCTGAACGACTGGACTTTGTAATAAGGAAAATTTCTTAAATAATCAAAATATATGAGTGAGCTTTGAGCCGAGAGGCTACTGCAGAAGTTTTAAAAGCGGGATCTTTCTTTATAAGGTTGAGAATAAAACTAAAGCACTTTATTGCTCCCTTGTGGGCAAAGCCAGAACTGCTGATGGAAAACAGTCACACAGCCCATGTCAAGAAATGAGTAAAATGCATATTCGAATTTACAGAAGGTTGAGAAGAAATCATCCCATTTTCAGAGGCTGCATAATATGCCGTTGGGGAGACAACTTAAGAAGTAAACACCAAAATTATGTCACACTATTTATTTTTAACCTAATGAACTGAATAATAGAGCATGAAAAGATGTTTCTAGGAGGGTTAGGAGTTCTAGCAGAATAAAAATACTTTCCACCAACTTTCAAATGCAATTAAACCGTCTCAAGTCCTATACAGGATGTGAGTTGAAGTCTATCATTCTCATCAGACGGTCCCTTCTCACCTGTAAAAGACAGGGAGGGAGGAAGCTGTGTTCATTCAGAGGAGCTGGATATTCCAGAAACAATTTGATTCTTTGGCACACCAGTACAGACACAGGTTCTTTAGCTGATCAGAACTAGCCAAGGCAAGTATCAGATTTCCTTCTGAAGTTCAGCAAAATTCAGCTTCCACGCCCCTTCTTGCCCCATCCTCACTTACTATGAAATCATTTTCAAGTAATATGTAACGTCCGCGATCTCACCAGAGAAGCTGACATAGTGTGAAAGTAACCTGCAACTGGAAAGCTGTGGGGACACTTCTCAGGGGCAGGAACTCCCTTGGATGCATGTGTCAAATGTTTCCTAATGAAGGCATACAAGACAGCAGGCTGTCTCACAGATGTGGTTCCTCCAAATGACATGCAAGCACAGCTCTCCATGGTTTTATGGCCTTGGACTCTAAAAAGCCACAAATTTTAAAGTAGATAGTGTAAGTAGCTAGTTACTATCCAAGAGGCAAACTTCCAGATAAGTAATGAGGAAGAAACATCAAGGCGAATTAAGTGAAAAGTATTTAACACAACAACCAGAAACCCTTGTTACTGATTTCTGTAACATAAAAATTTACCTTTTTCATTTTGTAAACTCATCTTCCCATCCCAAATAGCAGTGAAGCCTTCAAAAATCTTGAATTTATTCATCATCAAACATAACCCAATCTCACAATTTTGCACTATCTCACCAATAATATACTGTCTGTTGCCAGGCAGGAAAGATGGAGGATGTATTAACAGCTGCCTTCTTCAACACACACCTTGTGTGGTTATTAGTCTTTAAAAACCTGAGTACTATTAACTTTAAGGAAAAGGACATGAGATTTTAAGTCAGAAAGGAAAAATGTTGACTAAGGCCCAAATGTTCAACTCCAAGCTTTCATTCACGTAAAAAATGCAATCAAATCTCATTTTAAAGAGTTCATTTTTTTTCCTGCTTCTCCAGTTTTGGAGAACTGAAAGGGAGGAGAAGACCTGTACACAGCACAGACTTCCACTCTGGCTGTGAAAGACTAGCCAATTGCTAAATGTTTTATCAAGGAGGTGCTGGATCATATCACGCGGAAAACACCGCAACCTCCTTTTTATTACATCCTTCATATATTATGTATCCATCATACGTTTTAAATGAATTAGATGAAAAGAGCTAGAAAAAGTAAACAGAAGTTTTTGTGGGACAGGGCCATGAGAGAGCAGAAACCCAGAGAGCAATTTCAAATTAATTTGACTAAAATAAAGAGTACAGTCTCACAAAACGTGTATGGAACAGAGAGTGCACATGGGAACAGGACAGAGCAACAGCAGCACTCAGGTTCCCTTCATCAGAAAGGGGAGGCATTCAGGAAGACTTCAGTTGAGAAACAGATGTTCAAATGACATATTCAATGATCTTTAATTTTAAAGGAACGTCGAATTTCTGGTCAAAGTAAGGAAGGTGAAGAGTGAAATAAGGATAAAATCTTTCAACAGATATGTAATATGTGAAGAAATAAGATTAAAAGTTAAAAATATAACCTAAAAATGACATGGAGGTACAAAACAGAAATATGGTCAAAATTCTTATCCAAGGTTTTAGCTAGTTTGTAGAGTTAAGCCCACTGGAAATAAGGGTGAATTCCAATACTCATGGAGAATAAAAGAGAGGTAGGATTTAGATCAGGAAAAGAATGTTCCAGGATGCTGGCATCTTGAAGGCACTCAAAAACAGAGTGAGAGAGACTGAAGCTGCAGTGACACTGGAGGATTAGAGAGAGGTGTCATAAGAAATAAAAACTCCAGGAACATGTGACCATACATATATTATCGAGTAGTACATAAAGTAACAACGCAGAAAGAAAGCTACCTTATAAGTAGTTTCTTACAATATATATTCTACCTAGGGAACAAGAAAGAGTTTGTTTTCCAAATATGCATGTCTGCAAAGTCGTTCTGACTTAAAGAATTTGATAAACGGTATGTGATCTGGTTCTTGAAACAAATTTACTGAAGCAAAAGCTTCAAAGCTGGAACAACCAAGGAGTTTGATTTTCCTTTGAATCTTGTAAAACCTACCCTCTAGGACAAAAAGATCTGATCACAAAGTCTATAAAAAAGTCTAGAAAGTATAAAAGTAGAGAACTATGAATGTGGATATATTGATGGCAACTTTTATGGCTTCCATAGAAAGTGTAGAGAGGATCTCTGGTTTGCTTTATCGAGGTAGTGTCCAGGGTTGGAAGGTCATCGTTATTTATTGTAAGTGCTACAGATGACAAAAGCAGGTTAGCTAGGGTGTTGTTATTGCATAATAATGCCACTATCTGTAATGGCTTATGACCTTTCATTCCTAAAAAAAAAAAAAAAAAACTTTTGAGAAATTTCCTATCTTGGTTCAGGCAAAGGAAAATTAAAACCCAAACTTTACTTTCGTAATTTTATAGTCTGAAGAATCCCAAATGAGTTGATTTTTTAAAACGGTAATTAGCTGATAAAATTCTTAAATGTCATATATCCCCTTTTTCATTGAGTACTTCTCATACAGTCTAGAACAGCATTGAAATATTTATGTGGACCAGCAATGCAATAAAAGTTGTCTTTTCTATACAGTAGTTCAAACAGAAAGGTTTCTCTAACTTAACTTTTCTAGTTTTTTTTAACATAACAACCGACCTATCATTCTGTGTTTTACTAACCGAAATCTGCAAGATGGGGTATATATACATACATCTGCATTGGATTTCTATCTCTGCTTCATCTTCTCAAAATTTAAAACTTCCAGTGAAATCATAATGAAACTAAACATACATATCTATTCAAACAAACAAAAACTGAAAAAAATTTCAAGAAGTAAAAAAATTCATAGTTTATAAGCATCTCTTCCGAGCATTTTGCTTTCGGTTAGTATATGACGGACAATCAAATTACAGGGAAAGTTCTAATCACTAGAAAAAGATACTTCCAACAAATGTGGTTTTAAAGAAAAGGTACAACTATGGTAATGTCCATGCTCAGTCATTAATCGAAAACAGTTCATGTAAGTGGTAGACTATAAAAGTACAGGTAACTGATTTGCACAGGCTTCTTTGAACTACAGCAAGGTTTTTTTGTGGAGATCGCCCCTGCTTGCTAACAATAAGAATCCAGTCACAAATGTATGTGGAAATGAAGCCAAATGCCTTTAAATTGCTGTCTTTTCTTCATTCAAATTTAAAAATCTAACTTAGACTGAGCCTACCTGACTCAATTTGAGAAAGCAGCAGCCTTCATTAAGGCTAAGGAAGAGTTTACATTTGACTGATAAATCTATGAGAAAAAAAAAGACAAACACAAACAAATCAACCCATAAAAAACGATGCCAACCCATCCTCAAGTAAGTGTTAATCCTAACAACGACACAGGCCTTTGAAGACAGTAAAATGAAGTAACAAGGGGCAGCATCAATTTGCTGTCTATATAATGCTTAAATCCGGCCTCTGTTGTCTTTGACCTGTACAGATAAAGGCTGAGAACTTGAACTTCTCCATAATTCTTTTTTTCATGAACAGATGAGTAGGTAAAACATTTTGAAGCATTCATGGGGTGCTGTAGCATATATGGAAGAGAACATACCACATAATTCAACTTTTATCTTACAAAGAGGACCCCAACCAAATTTTCAACCCTGAGTGTCTGAAGCATGTTAAATCTGTTGCACGTGTGTATGTTTAAGGCTTAATCCTACAGTTCTTATATTCAGAAGCATTCATGTCATGAATATCCTTAATGCATTTCATTATTCATACGAAATATGATACTGATGAGGAGTCATTATATTCTGAGCAGTTTTCCTGAAGACCACAAGCCTCAAGTCAAGGAAAGTAACTTAATCTAGAAGGAAAAAAAAGGAAGTTTCTAAATTGTTCCACAGTACATTTCACTAAGAACTGTACTGTGTAACAACGCTAATTTTATTTTAAAAAATAATCTTTTTTTTTCCTTTGCTCTGTTAAGGATGGTGGTGATTATTTGCTTAATACTGGTTTTCCTGTATAGCAGATTATTTTCTTATGGCTATATTTACTTGAATGGAAAATCAAAGATGACTACCTGAATATTTCAGTGTGTAATTATAGTACACCTCATGAAATGGTTGATTCCGTGGTCTCAAGTCTAGAATTCAGAATTGCTGCCCATATAACTAAATTTATTTAGAACAAAATAAGGCAGCCAGGCGCAGTGGCTCACGCTTGTAATCCCAGCACTTGGGAGGCTCAGGCGGGTAGGTCAGGAGTTTGAGACCAGCCTGGCCAATATGGGGAAACCCAATCTCTACTAAAAATACAAAAATTACCCGGGCATGGTGGCGCACACCTATAATCCTAGCTACTTGGGAGGTTGAGGCGGGAGAATCGCTTGAACCCGGGAGGCAGAGGTTGCAGTGAGCCAAGATCATGCCACTGCACTCCAGCCTGGGCGACAGAGCAAGTCTCTGTCTCAATAAAAAAAAAAAAGGAAAAAAAAAAGAAAAAAATAAAGTATAACCAATTAACCAAGCTGTAAGTTATCTTTTAAAAAAAAATTATTTTAATACTACAGGCTTGACCATGAAATGATATGTTTATATAAAAGTGTATGTTGACAAACTTGTCACAGAATGCCAAGGAGACTGTGGAAGGAGGGGGAAACAACCACTAAAGATATAACAGTCATAGGCAAGGAATTAACTTTCCTTACTGGCTTGGGTACCTGGGTGCTCAAAGAATGTGTACAAATATTAAAAATACCATTCTTTAAAACTTACATCCAAAAACAGGGAGAAAAGTATGTCTTCAGATACTTTTCTGCCTCATTCCAAAATTTTCCTATGCTCATTATATAAGACAGGCAAAATCAGAAGGAGAAAATTTAGAAACATTAAACCAAAAAGCTAATAGAGAATGTGATGTTTGAAAAATAGGGACTTAACCTCGATTGAAAGACTTCCATTTTTTCCTACCACAGAGCTAATTAGAAAAGTGCTCAAAGCGTATCTGCACATTTAATATTAAAAATAAAAAAATAAATAAAAGCCAGCATTCTGATTCAGGCAATTACTTTAAGAACCCAAGGAAAGAAAAATAAGGACATTTCAAGATTAAAAAATGGACTGGGCATAGTAGCATGCGCCTGTAGTCCCAGCTACTTGGTTAGATGAGGCAGGATTGCTTGAGCCCAGGAGTCGGAGGCTGTAATGTGCTATAATTGCACCTGTGATCAGCACTGCACTCTAGCCTGGGCAACATAGCAAGACCTTGTTTCTTAAAAAAACAAAATTGGAGAGCGGGTAGGGGATAAGTGATTTAGCTTGGGAACTCAGTTCTCTGAGATAAGAAATACAAAATTTTAAGCTACACTGAGATAGATTTGATCAGTTAGGAGTAATCAATACACTAGCCCTTCTGTTCAGCCTTTCCTATAATAAGCTCCTGGTTGATTATGTTCTTTTGAAGTTCTCCAAGCTTGAAAAAGTAACCTGCCTAAAGGTATTAGAGGTGCTGCTCTCTTTATCACCTAAGAATGCTGGTATTACATAATTTGCAGACAGGGCAGTAAAACTTAGGAGTTTTCCCTCACTGCTATTTAAATTGTGTTAAAATAGCTCAAAGTTGTGAACAAATCCACATTTTACATATCACAGACATTTAAAAACTCATAACCAATTTGTCTTCTCATCCGAATTTCTCAGCCCCTACAGCAACATCATGTTTGTGATTTCAAGTTTACCATTTTAGCTTCTTATAACAATTCTAGAAAAATAAAGCAATCTCAAAATGAGAGATTTCAATTTGTCATCCCATAAAAGCTATACATGAACACAGTTCCTAAGGGAAGTGAGAAACAGACGTGACTGAGATGAAATGATCTCCACTACTTCCTCCTCCTGTCAGCAAACAGCCTTATTCAAATTTTCAAAACATGCAAGTTTTAGGTGACTTCCCTGGAAAAGGCCCCAGCCCCTGCAAATCATTTCATGTAATGCACTAACGGAGCCAAGGAGAACATGGAGGACAGGAGCACATCAGGGAGCCTCTTTGAGTGTTAAGCAGAGATTTCAAAACTACCAAGTATTTATGCCAAATCCTGAAAGCAAAACCTCGTTTTTGCAGTAACCTGGTCTGGAGACCCTCTCAGATACATCTGGTTTCTGAAGCACCTTTTGAGTTGTACGGATGTAAGAATAACTTTGAATTATAGAAGTTATATGCATCTTTAAGAATCACATTTTGATGATTATAAAATTTTTTTTCTATTTTACAACATAGGTTCAGCTACACTGAAAAAATTACACCGCTTATTGAAATACATTTCATTTTAGAAACAGACTACTAAAGAAGTCTATACAAAAACTCTAAAATAATTTCTGTAGTAAAATAAAGAGTGCGTTAGGAGAGCTACACAAAGAAGAACATGTCTGTCTTTCTCTATAATGCTTGATATACTGTGAAAACACAGCCAGCTCAACTCTGTAGCTGGCACCAAAAGCTGAAAAGAATTCCTTACCATACACAGTGATACAATTAATGCTCTGGATTAATCTCACAGCCTTCCCGATTAGTACAAAGGAAACCAGGCCTATCCCCTCTTTGAGGAGAAGTCTGGGATATAAAAGCAAGCATACCTCATCAGCTGATATGAAATTATAAAATTCCACAAGTCTGAGTATTTGAAACTTATAAGTCATCAGAAAATGCAAGCAAATTGGGCTTTTGTTCAGTGGTTCCCCTGGTTTAGATGACAGTCCCTCAGTGAGCTCAAGGTAGTCTTCTTGTTCATTCCCTTGGATCTGTTGACTCAATGACACTGGCGAAGCTCTTGGTAGAGGCAGAGAGTCTGAGAACTAAGGAAATGCTCACCAACTCCCTCTGTGCACACTCACACATGGGGACATGTCTCCTGGAGAACACACTAAGGAGACGGATGTTAATGATGCTGTGCTGAACTGTTCTTCTCTGCCAGGTGCCGCAGAAAGTTGTCCTCACTCTGGCCTCTATGATTTAAAGGCTCACTCTTAAAGAGAGCTGGAGGTGGGGGGAGGTGAGGGACCGGAGGGATAGGAAGGTGGTGTGGGTGGTGAGGGTGTGGGTGGATGTGCAGGTGTGAGAAGGGGTGGGGGATGGGTCGAGGGGGAAGAGTGCTTACAGGATTCATATTGATTGGAGGGGTGGGGGTTGTGGGTGTGTTCACCACAGAAGGAACTGGGGTGGCTGGGGAAGTTGTAAGTGGGATCTGGACAGCAGGTGGCACATTCACGGGGCTGGTCACCCGAAAGCACTTCTCCTTGTGGGCCTTAAGCATGTTCGAAAAGCGGAACCTCTGGCCACACACATCACATGGATAGGGCTTCTCGCCTGTGTGTGTTCTTCGGTGTCTCTTCATGTTGGGGCGGCTGGTGAAGCTTTTGCCACAGATTTCACAGATAAAGGGTTTCTCTCCTGAGATGAACACAGACATAAAAATGGTTAACATACTAGGTGGTAATTGTGTGCTTATGCTATTTCTCATTTATTATTATTATTTTTCTTTTTTTTTTTTTAAGATGGGGTTTCACCATGATGACCAGGCTGGTCTTGAACTCCTGGCCTCAAGTGATCCTCTCATCTTGGCCTCCCAAAGTGTTAGGGTTACAGGCGTGAGCCACCGCGCCCGGCTATTATTATTATTTTTAATAGAAATGGGGCCTCACTACATTGATCAGGCTGGTCTCAAAGTCCTGGCCTCAAGTGATCCTCTCATCTTGGCCTCCCAAAGTGCTGGGATTATAGGTGTGAGCCGTTGTGCTTGGCCTATGAGACTGTATTCAAGAGTCATCTAAAAATCCCCTCAAATTTGGACTTAACAGATCAGAGTAGATACACCTAAAACTTACATATATCCTACCATCTGGGCTTAGCTAAAAGAAGAAGATAAAGATGGGGGAGGAGGCACCTACATTAGTGATCCTCTATATCCTACACAAAGAACAGTTCAAAAGGCTTTCTGTGACAGAGAAAACATCCTAGATGACTCTTTGCCTTTAAATTGAGGAAATTAATCTGTAAGCAATTCATTTATTTTATTTTATTTTTTAAAATGGAGCTTCACTCTTGTTGCCCAGGCAAGAGTGCAATGGCGTGATCTCGGCTCACTGCAATCTCCACCTCCTGGGTTCAAGTGATTCTCTTGCCTCAGCCTCCCAAGTAGCTGGGACTACAGGCGTGCACCACCATTCCCAGTTAAGTTTGTATTTTTAGTAGAAACGGGGTTTTACCATGTTGGCCAGGCTGGTCTCAAATTTCTGACTTCAGGTGATTCACCCACCTCAGCCTCTCAAAGTGCTGGGATTATAGGGGTGAGCCACTGCACCCAGCTGTAATTTCTTTAAACAGGATCTTGCTCTATCACCCAGTCTAGAGCGCAGTGGTGTGATCACTGGTCACTGCAGTCTCAACCTCCTGGGCTCAAGCAATTCTCCCAGCTCAGCCTCCCAGGTAGCTGGAACTACTACAACAGGTGTCAGCTACCATGCCTGGCTATCATTTCTTTTTCTGTAGAGATGGGGTCTCCCAATTTTGCCCAGGCTGGTCTTGAACCCATGGGTTCAAGCAATCCTCCCACCTCAGACTCCCAAAGTGCTGAGATGACAGGCATGAGCTAAGGCCCTAGCCTGTAAGCAATTTCTGATATTCCAAACAAAAGTAAGAATTTTCTGAAAATGTCCTGTGGAACAAAGAAGTCCCTTCCTGTCTATTCATACAGAATCCTTAGCATACAGCTTGCCTTTTGGCAATGAACTTAGAAAATACTGGCCTGACAAACTTGCAACCTGAATTTCACACTGCAGTGTTTCTCTTTTTTTTTTTTTTCCCTTCCTCATCTTTGCTCTCAGTCGTGGCATATACCTTTGCAAATACATACCACAGTGTTTCTCAATGTGAGTGCTACTGGTATTTCTGCAGACAATTCCTCATTATGTGGGACTATCTGGCACATCGAAGAGAATTCAGCATTCCTGGTGCCAGCCTACTAAATACCCACAAGAGATTCTGACAATAAAAAATGCCCCTAGGCCATTTCCAAATGTCCATGGGTATAGGGAGGGTGGCGGGCCTATTGCTTCTAGTTGAGAACCACTGGACCAATGAGTCAAAAAAAGAGACAGAATCCCATAGTTCTGAGCGCACTTAGGAAATTAGGTTTGGGTTCAGAGGGCTTAATTTTTAAGCTTTCCTAACTTTCTTTTGAACTTATTGCTTAGTTCCATGCTGCGCCTGCCTGCTTCCAGCCTGTAGAAAATAAGATGCTTTTTGATTCTATATTCATCAATCATTTCACATTGGATGCTAAGGTGAGGTGGGTAGTTCTTGTGTACATGGACTTCAGTGAACCATATGCTTGTACTGATCAGTTCCTGCATCAGTCCTCCATGTCTATAGCTCGTATCTTTACATAAGCTCCTACTACAAGAGCACTGCTGTCACTTCCATTGCTGCTCCTCTTCTCTCAACAGGTGTGCTGCTGCTTCTTTTTGAGATGGAGTCTTGCTCTGTTGCCCAGGCTGGAGTTCAGTGGCATGATCTCCACTCACCACAACCTCCCGCTCCTGGGTTCAAGCAATTCTCCTGCCTCAGTCTGCTGAGTAGCTGGGATTACAGGTGCACACCACCACACCTGGCTAATATTTTTGTATTTTTAGTAGAGACGGGGTTTCACCTTGTTGGCCTGGCTTGTCTCAAACTCCTGACCTTGTGATCCACCAGTCTTGGCCTCCCAAAGTGCTGGGATTACAGGCGTGAGCCACTGTGCCCGGCCAGGTATGCTTATTCTACTCATGTGTACTGGGTCTTACTGTGTACCAGGCACTGCTAACTGCTTTATGACTATTAACCTTGGTGATCCTCACAGTGATTGTATGAGGCAGGTATACTATTACCCCTTATTTTACTCACAAGGAAATTAATAAACTTGCCCAAAGTTACATGCTAATGGAGAGTTAGAATTTCAAATCTACAGCCTGGTTCTAGAGTTTATGTTTTTGACATGAAAGCCACAGTACTTCACAATCACTCAATGTGCCTTTCTGCATATATGAAGGGATGTATTTTCTTACTTCCTCATCTACTTTGGGACTCCTTCTTTTTCTTTCATTCCCCCCACCCCGGGAACCCTCTTATACCACTAGGAGCAAACACCTATCACAGTTCAAATTTCTTGTCTCCAGCTTTTCATTATAGTAGAAAACTGACATCCCCTATGGCCTCTTCCATAGAAGCCAGAATTTTCTACTTTCCTGAGAGACTGAAGAGTCAATTTTCTCCATAACTATCAGCATTATTTTCAGACTATCATATTTCTCGTCTTTATACTTTTTTTTTTGAGACGGAGTCCAGCTGTGTTGCCCAGGCTGAAGTTTAGTGAATGGCACGATCTCAGCTCACTGCAGCCTCTGCCGCCCAGGCTCAAGTGATTCTCCTGCCTCAGCCTCTGGAGTAGCAGGGATTACAGGCATGAGCCACCACACCCAGCTAATTTTTCTATTTTTACTAGAGACAGGCTTTCACCACGTTGGCCATGCTGGTCTCAAACTCCTGACTTCAAGTGATCTTCCCGCCTCAGCCTCCCAAAGTGCTGAGATTACAGGTGTGAACCACCGAGCCCGGCCCTCTTTACACTTTTCATTCTTCAATCACTGCCTTGGCTAGGCTCCTTACTGTGACTCATTCATCTTTCTGGATGAATTCTGAGCCCAGTTTGTTTTGCTTCTTTTTAATCTATTTCCTCCAACGTCTTAAAATCGTCAACTTCTGGCAGGACATGGTGGCTCATGCCTGTAATCCCAGCACTTTGGGAGGCCAAAGCAGGAGGATCACTTGAGGCCAGTAGTTCGAGACCAGCCTGGGGAACACAGTGGCACCCTGTCTATATATTAAAAAACAAAACAAAATCCCTTCAACTTCTGTGTTAAATGGAATTGAGCAAATCAATTATGGTATATTTGTTTGATGGAAAATACTACCGAAAACATTGTTACACGCTGGGTAAGGTAGCTCACACCTGTAATCCCAACACTTTGGGAGGAGGATTGCTTAAACCCAGGAATTTGAGACCAGCCTGGGCAACATGCCGAGACCCTGTCTTTACAAAAAAATGCAAAAAATTTGCCAGGTGTGGTGTACATCTGCAGTCCCAGCTACTGAAGGGGCTGAGGTGGGAACATCACTTGAGCCTGGGAGGCAGAGGTTTCAGTGAGCTGAGATTACCCCGCTGCACTCCAGCCTGAGCCACAGAGCGAGATGCGGTCTCAGAACAACAACAACGTTATAAAGTACAGGAATGTAAATTATTAACATGAAAATGCATAATCTATTAAGTGTATCTATGATCTACTGAGTAAAAGCACGTTATGGAAATGCATGTATGAGGCCATGTGTGGTGTCTCACGCCTGTAATCCCAGCACTTTAGGAGGCTGAGGCGGGTGGATTATTTGAGGTCAGGAGTTCGAGACAGGCCTGGCCAACATGGTGAAACCCTGTCTCTCCTAAAAATACAACAATTAGCCAGGTGTGGCAGCACGTGCCTGTAGTTCCAGCTACTGGATAGGCTGAGGCAGGAGAATTGCTGAACCCAGGAGGCAGAGGTTACAGTGAGTCAAGATCATACCATTGTACTCCAGCCTGGGTGACAGAGCCTGACTCGATCTCAAAATAAACAAACAAACAAACAAAAACAAAGAAAATGCATGCATGGTATTATCTACCTTTTAAAAATATATATATGCATGGAAAGAAATACAACAGGCCAGGCACAGTGGCTCACACCTGTTTTCCCAGCACTTTGTGAGGCTGAGGCAGAGCAGATTGCTTGAGCCTGGAGTTCAAGACCAGCCTGGCGAACACAGTGAGACCCCGACTCTATTAAAAAAAAAAAAAAAAGGAAGCCAGGCACTGTGGCTCACACCTGTAATCCCAGCACTTTGGGAGGCCAAGGTGGGTGGATCACGAGGTCAAGAGATTGAGACCATCCTGGTTAACACGGTGAAACCCAGTCTCTACTAAAAATACAAAAAATTAGCTGGGCGTGGTGGCACGTGCCTATAATCCTAGCTACTCAGGAGGCTGAGGCAGGAGAATTGCCTGAATCCAGGAGGCAAAGGTTGCGGTGAGCCGAGATCGTGCCATTGTACTCCAGCCTGGGTAACAACAGCGAAACTCTGTCTCAAAAAATAATAATAAAATAAAATAAAATAAGGAAAAATATATAACAAACATTACCAGTGATTACCTCTAGGTAATAGGATTATGGATGATGTTTTACTTTTTATGGTTATCTGTTGTTGTTTTTTTGAGAAAGGGTCTCACTATGTCACCCAGGCTGGAGTGCAGTGGTATGATCTTGGCTCACTGCAACCTCCACTTCCCAGGTTCAAGCAATTCTCCTGCCTCAGCCTCCCACGTA